AATTCCAAAACCAAAATCCCCAAAGTGTCCTACGTCTTAGCAGCATCGCCAGAACACCATGTGCAGCCTCCCACTGCGGTCACGTTGAAAAGGACAGCCCTGCTGGGCGAAGGGCTCTCAAGTATTTGTACAGAAAAGGAAAAAGGCCCTCATGACTGCAGTCACACGAAAAGAGGCAGGTTGACCAGGAAGCCCGCCCCTGCCTGCACTGCTGAGCCCATCCTGTTGGGAAGGAGTGGCCCAGGTCAGTGCAGAGGGCTCTGCGTGTTTCAGGCAGCGCCTCTAATTAGCCCAAAGCAGCCACAAGTCAGCAGGTGAAACAGAGTAGAAAGGGGGTGGGGCTGGGCTGGGCTAAGCCTCGGATGAATCAAGCCACCTCGTGGGGCAGGAACGCCCAGTCTAAATCTCTAGCCACACTGAAAACCCCTATAAAAGATTCCCACTCCATGACCTACTCCACACACCGCTTAACACCATTTGCCTCCGGCTGCCTGAACCTTGGGTAAGTCCTCCTCTTGAGGAATCCCCCTTTGTTTTGCTCAGTCTCTTGAGGGAGCGGGTTCATAAAACCAGGGCTGTTGGTTGTGGGGTCTGTAGGTCAGTCAGTCTTCTTTGAGCCTCAGGCGAGCAAGGAGCAGGAGCATGCTGGGAAACCATGCCTTCCTGGACCCATCAGGCTCCCTCCGCCCCTGCAGCAGGCCTGGCAGCCGCTCCTCTCACTGAGACTCCGTGGGTGGCAGCGAAGGAACTGCCCATTGCTTTCCTGCATCCGTGAAGGCCTCTTGCTCTCAAGGTTCTAGAAGCACTTTTGCAGTGTTCCCGGAGTGGTGGGATCAGAACCAGGTTGCCTCTGCCGACCCAGAGGATAAAGTTAAACCACCTTGTGCTATTTGGGCCAGCTGAGTTTCCAGATTAAGTCTACAGGATCTGAAGTGTGGCTAGAAGTTCCCTTGTTGTTTTCACGGTTTATACATCAAGGGGGCATCCTTGGGTGGCACTAGTAGTGAACACATGTCACGGCTGCTAACGGAGATGTCGAAAGTTTGAGCCACCCAGAGGCACGTCAGAAGAAAGGGGTGGCGATCTACTTCTGAAAGATCAGCTATCCATCGGGAAACCAAACTATCGTACTCTAACACGTGGGGCTGCCATGAGGGGGAATTGACTATGGAAACTGGTTTATAGATTAACTGGGAAGTTCTTGTCACATTGTTTGGGGTGGGGAGTGGGAGCAGGTGTGGATCTTTTCTTGTCTCTGTTAAGGTGCAATATTCTAAACTTGTGCTTTGATGGACCTAGGACGTCAAAGCCAGCCTGAAACTTTTGGCTATGAGGTAGAAAGGAGACCCTTTGGGAAGCCTCCCCCATCCCCCGCCCTTGGGTCTATAACATTCTGCATCCTTCTGGCTGACTGACCTCCTTTCTTGAGCTTCCAAGCCTCCTTCCTCCCGTTACTCCCCAGCTTCTCGAGGTATGTCTTCATCGTCCCGTGGAATTCTGCTTTAAATCTCCAGATCTCCTCCTGGTGCACCAGCTGCTACTGGCTTCTGTCTGCCCCACCTTCGAACCTCTTCATCTCCGATGCCATTTCCCCTTCTGGCATCTCCTCTGCTCTCCCAACACATCTCAGCTCCCTCTGCCTCTTGCCCACCAGAGACATCCAGGCCTCAACTCCTCCAGCTGTCTCCAGCTTCCTGGCTAATGAGAAAGATAATCTCTCTCTACAATGGGGCATCAGTCCTATAGTCACCGGGACCCTGGCTTGATGGGCCCACAAGCCTGTTGGGCCCAGTGCTGAGGATAGATGTCCCATCAGAGAAACCTCAATTCTCAGAAAGAGAAAGCCTCCTGCCCAGGGGAGTCACCCTTTCCTCAGCATCCCGAACAGGTGGTAACCCAGCCCCTTCCTGACTACTTGCCTAAAAGAAAGTCAGAAAGGGCAGAGTTGAGCCCCTGAAGTTCCTGCTTGATTGCCACCTGAGTCGGGGGTTGACTCCCATGCGCATCAACTGCCTACTGGTCTACCCAGCAGTGACCCTCTCTGTCTTGTGATGAGCACAGACAGCTATGCATTCAGGTACAGGAGACACGGATTCTAGGATTTCTTGGTCCCTTAGAACCTGGATGGCCTTGGGCAAATCACCTCACTTCTCTGAACCTATTTCGTCTCCTATTAAAAAGTGGAGGGAATAAGGCTGACAAGAGATGATGCATGAGAAAGTGCTCTGTAAGCGGTGCATAAACATAGCACACACAAATTGTACTGGTGAATGTGTGGGTAATAGCATCATAATGACATATAATAGCACTTCATCTGAGCCAGGCTCTCTGCCAAGTGTTTTAGAGCCATTATCTCTTTTGGTTTTCACCATAACCCGATAAAGTAGGTACTAGTATTACCTTTGGAGCCCTGGTAGTAAAGTGGCTATACATTGGGCTGCTAACTACAAGGTCAGTAGTTTGAAACCACCAGCCACTCTATGGGACAAAAACAGGGCTTTCTACTCCTATAAAGTGTTGCAGTCACAGAAACTCACAGGGGTGGCTGTCCTTTGTCTAGAGGGTCTCTATGAGCTGGCATCCACTTGATGGCACTGAGTTTGTTGTGTTTGTTTGTGTTTTTAGTATTACCTTTAGAATCCCAAGGTGACTACAGGATTTTGCCCTTGGCTGCTGAACCAAAAGATTGGTGGTTCTAATCCACCTATAGGTGCCTTGGAAGAAAGGCCTGGCTCTCTGCTTCCAAAAGTCACAGCCACTGAAAACCCTGTAGCGTGTATGTCTACTCTGAGACCTATGATAACCTTATGAGTCAGGATTTACTTTACCATCCTGCCACAATACATAAAGTGAGGCTTGGAGAGGTGAAGCAAGTGGCCCACGCTCACGGGAGAGGTCAGAGGGGGGCCTAGCATTTTTATCTCAACACTGAGTCTGCCTCCAGTGACTGTGTGCACCTCCTTCCCATCCATCAAATGCATTACCACTGACATGGGCACAGAGAGACAGAGACCCAAAGCAGAGGTGACTATGTAAGGAGAGGACTGCGAAGCAGAAATGCTCCCCGCGACACAGGGGAGGCTCATGTGGGGTCCCCCATGGGACACGTGTCATTTCTCCCCAGCTTGACATACAAGATGCCTCAGTTGCTGCGGAACATTACTGGGATCATCGACGCCTTCAGTCGCTACGCCAAGACCGAGGGTGACTGCAAGTCACTGACCCGAGGAGAGATGAAAAGGCTCTTGGAGAGGGAGTTCGCAGACGTCATTGTGGTAGGGGGTGTTCAGCTGGGTGGGGGCGGCGGTGGGGGAGGTCATAGGTGAGAGGACAGGTCTGTCTGTAGACACTTTGTTCTGGAACGTGGGGACCAGGCCTGCCTGTCAGCGAAGGGTAGGAAGAGATGGCCAAGGAGCAAACGGCTATGGACCACAGGGGTGAGTCAGCTTGGCCCCCAAAGAAGACACATTTACTTTGATGGATTCCGATTAATTCTAATTTAATGAATTCTGATTAATTCTAAGAGAGGTGCAAAGGCACCCAAGGGATAGCTTACAAAGCAACAGAGCCTTTGGATGTTCTGGGAGTGAGCATGGTGGCTGTCGTCCACTGCTTTCCAGACACAGCATCCTTCCCCCACGGCTGTACTGGTTACACCTTGGGCTTTGACTCACAAGGTCGGCTGTTTGAAACCACCAGCCACTCCACAGGAGATAGATGGGGCTTTCTACTCCTGCAAATGGTTAGCATCTCCGTCTCAGAAACTCATGGGGGCAGTGCGACCCTGTCCTGTAGGGTCGCTGTGAGCTGGAATCGACTATGGCAGTGAGCTTGGGCTTTGGTTTCATCTGAAATGTGAGTCTCTAGTAACAAGCCCTTAGTAGCTGCATGGCTCTGTGGCTCCGGGCCTTGCCCACAGGAGTCATTCCAAAGCATTAGCGGACCGATCACATGGGAAATTGTTTTGGAGAACAGGCTGCTCCCAGCACTGCCCCACCCCCACCCCCACCCCCAGGCCCTTGAGGTGTTTCCCTGCCTCTTCCTGTCATGGGCTCTTACCTAAATCAACTAGGGAGATGGAGCCCTGGAGCACAGGGCGGTGTGGTCCGCAGGGTGCTGACTGCATGCTCCCGCCAACCCTGCACCCCAGGACCAGCGCGTTACAGAAGACAGTGGAGATCCCACGGCACTCCGTCAGGGCCACACCACCTCAGTCCGCCGCAGAGAAAACACTGCCTCAGTCCCAGAGGCAAGAGGGCCATGGAGCACGGAAGGGGGCCAAGCTTCCCCGAAATCATAGTCGTGTGCCGAGTGCCATGAGTGCCGAGTGCAATGATGTACTCATTCTTCAGTCAGTGTTGGTGCTAGGAGGCCAGGCATTGTGCCGGACAGGGAGCATGCAACGTAAAAGGGGTTGGGCACAAGCTGCCCACCACACGGTTGCTCGTAGGAAGGCTGGTGAGTTCTAATTCATGCAGAGAAGACAGGCCTGGCCCCCTGTTTATGAAAGGTCACAACCTCGAAATCGCCGCAGGGCAATTCTCCTCTGTACCCAGGGCATCGCTGTGGGTCAGAAACCCCTCAATGATAGCAGCTGCTCCAGGGGAATAGAGACACGGGCCGAAAAAAGAGGGAGGGGCCAGGAAACCTCACTCACATGGCCACTAATGATATAGCAGTTCATATAGAGGGTGGGGTGGGGCTGGCCAGGGCTCTGGGATGCCTGGAGTTGAGTGGGATGGGTACTGACCTAACCTCTTCTTCTGCTCAGAACCCCCACGATCCGGGCACTGTCGATGAAGTCATGCGCCTGCTGGATGAGGATGAAACGGGGACTGTGGAATTCAAAGAATTCCTGGTGCTGACCTTCAAGGTGGCCCAGGCCTGTTTCCAGGCCCTGAGTGAAAGTCCTGAGGGAGCTTGTGGATCTCAAGAGTCTGGACGTCATCGCACTGGAGCCTCACAAGAGCTGAGGGAGGGTCAGAGACGTCCCACTGAAGTAGGAGGGGCTGGGGCAAGTCAGCTCCCTGAGGGAGGCAGCGGTGGGCAGAGCCCCCAGATGTCCAGGGGGCAGGACATCAGCTCCACTCAGGCTGGTCACCGGGGTAGGCAGACTGAATCCCAAAGACAGGAGAACCCAAGCCAGCAGGAACAAGAGGCAGGGCAAGTCAGGCAGACTCGGATACCAGAGGAGAGGCATCATCAGACCAGGGAGGGGAGATCAGACAGAGAGCCTCAGACCAGGGAACAAGATGGAGCCCACCATAGCAGAGAGTCCGTGACTGGTACCACCCAAACCCCAGGTCAGGGCAGGGGCCATCAGACAGGGAACACCAGTACCCAGTCCTGGGAGTACACCTCTGGCCAGACCAGAGTCACCCAGCATCAGGACAGGAACCAGAGCGGACAAACAGTGACAGTGGGGCATCGTCAGACCCAGACAGGGTCACAAACTCACACCATGGAGCAAGACAGAGGTCGTCAGAGGGGAAACACCAGCACCCAGTCCAGGGAGTCCACCTCTGGTCAAAGCAGGGGGAGCCAGGGACAAGACATGAGCCAGACCAGACAAACGGTAACAGGGGGGCATCTTCAGACCCAGACAGGGTCACAAGGTCACACCACGGAGCAAGACAGAGGCCATCAGAGGGGGAACACCAGTACCCACTCTTGGGAGTCCACCTCTG